CTTTTTATCACCAGCAGCAAACCTGCTCAGTATTTCAAACAGATAGGAGGGCAGAAATATCTGTGAATTTCAAGTAGGAAGAAACGTGCAATTCTGGGTCACTGTGAGTGACTGGAGCATCTCCCAAGGCTCAGCTCTGTCGCTCCTCTCTGTGTAAAAATACGTGAACTTCTCACTGAGTCAGTAGCTATTCCTGGAAAATTTAAACGTGCAACTGACTCCATCATAGAATAAGACCATTTCCTACTCATTCAATTCTTTTCCTTTCTAATTTTGTCATTGCTTTTTAAATAAAATTAGCTATTTCTATATTACAAGTACACTTTTCTGCCTTTACTTTCAGCAGTTCTAACTTGAGACTTTGAATTTAACATGTTAATATAACTGGATAGTTTTTTAATCAAAAACCAATGCCCTAAGCACCTGTGACATTTGCAGGCGTTCTCCTGCTAACAGAAAGACAACAAAGTGAAGTAAGACAAGGACCTGGCTTTGAGACATTCACAGCTCATCAAGGGAGACAGACCAGTCAAAAATAACTAAACTTTAATAGCCTAGGACCACAGGACAAGCACAAAAGTCTGTAAGAACACACAGCAATGAAATTAGTTCATGATGACATGCAATTTGATCAGTAAAATGAATGATAAAATAGATTACTTGATTCTTATTTACTTCTACTCCTATATCCAGATGATCAATTTACTTAATTAATAAGTACCACTAACAACATTGTATACCAGACGTCATTCTAAATGCTTATATAGACACAAAAATGTCTAATTCTAGCCTTCTGTATATGCACTGAAATTGTACTATTTTACAGATGAAGAAACCAAGCAGCTTCCCCAGGTTAAAATGCTCTCATCGATAAAGCTGGGACTCACATTTTGCAGGTGGGATCGGACGGCTCACTCGCTACCATTCTATTATAGCATCTCTTAGGTCAGAAAGCAAGTTCTCTACATTCTGAGTTCACTCCTGTTGTTTCACATAATCTTTTGAGAGAAATTTGAGCAAATCTGGGAAACTCAGGCTCTCTAGAATACTTCTCTTTGTTGTCCTAATGGTGCTGACTTTCGACCTGTGCAGCTTGGACCCCCATGCCCCAAGAATAAAAGATGGCTTGTGCCCCCTTCACAGTTTGCAGAGCTGGTAAATGGCATTGCCTTTGTGAATGTAGATTTGTTAACTGGGTGAAACAGAAGGGATGGTATATACAGAAAATTAACAATTGGGTTCTGTATTCCCTTGCCTTTGCCCAAGTATCACAGAGCAAGTTAGGTCAGTGTGCTCCAGGCGTAACTTGTCTACGATTGTTTCCAAAAATCCATGGAATAAATCCCCTGAATACCATTTAAATAAGGAATATTTGATACTTTAAAGTAACTTTTTCAATGCAGTTGATGAGACTGTTGTAGAAAGAATAACTACTATGATACTCATGAAAATAGCCTGAAATAGCCTGAAATGTCTGTTTATTTATTTGTATAATAAACATTTTTCCAGTTTACATCTGTCTATAAACATTTTATGATGCTAAATATAGGAAGTTAGGGAACCAATTAATATGTGATCTTATTTAAGAGTATAAAATTCCTCTGGAGCCAATCTAGTATAAACAGAATTTAAAAAATCCAAAAAATTCATAAAAAGTATTATTGTTATTATTACTATTATTTGAGTCATAGCTATAATTTGGGTCTGTGGAGACCCATGCACTGAAGGCTCTGTTCCCTGGGTGCCGCAATAGGGAGGAGGTGGGAGTTTGAAGAGGTGGGCCCAGGGTGTGGTCTCCAGCCAGTGAGATCTGTGGAATTGCAATCACTTCCTCTTTCTCTCCTGTGCTTCCTCCTTTGCTCAGCCCCACACTTATGCCTGCTCTGCCTCTCTGCTGCCCCAAAGCAATGAGGCCAAACAATCATGGACTGCAACCGTTAAAACTGTGAGCCAAAGTAAACCTTTTTATCTTCATCAGGTGGTTTTCTCAGGTATTTGTTATAGTTACGGAATGCTGACTAACATACACATATGAATTGCTAAAGATTAATTTTCACGATATAAAAACTGGTTTTATCAATCAACTAGAGAAAGTTTTTTTTTTAGAAAAGCAGTGAAAATGGCAGTGATTTGAAAAAGCACTTCACTGAAAATAAAATAAATATTGGAAAATATGATGTTTTCTGTCTCATAATGAAAAACTGAAAAATATAAACAAGAACCCATCATCCTCCATAAGACCATTAAAAACATTCATGGTCTTTTGTACTTTCCACAGTTAGGAAGAAGGGGGAAACAAGCACTTCTGTACCTTATTCATGAAATTATAAAATTGCACAATAGGAGGAGGATGGCTCGTGTGGAATTTGTCCTTGCTCGGTCAGGGTAATGGAGAAGAGTTACAAAGGAAGCACACATCTTGGGAGAACAGGCCTCTGCCTTTATGTTCCACATTTCTTAGAGGCAGAAGTGCCACTACTCCCTTAGACGAAATCTCTGCACTGGATGATATACTTAGGATGTCTTAAATAAGAGATGAACATTACCAATTCCATATTCTCCTGCATGCAGTTTCTCATCCTGTCTTGTACAGGCTATGATTTTCCTCAAACTCTTCCCTCTCTACTATCTATATTATGCCAAAGTGTTCTCCTCCCTTTCACCTCAAAACAATTAGAACTTACACATTTAGCCAGTCATTCTTATAGGGATCTATCTTTTGTTTCATATATTTTCTCAACTGAAAGGTAAAAAGAAAAAAATGGAGTACACTGGGGGGTATAATCATCCTATATTACCTTTTCACTCTTGTGGCTCTTTCTATTGTATAATATACAGTAGCTATTGCATAAATATATTTCTTTGGTTGATCAGTAGTTGGAGCATCCCTCAAAAGAAAGCCTAAGTAAGGTGGAAGGAGATTTACTTAAGAAGATCAGAATTAAAGCTCACAGCCATTGTGAAAGTGTTTGCCCTCTATCCATTACAGGTTACTTCTTATGCCCATCAACTCAAACCTCAAGGTCACTCCTTTTCCAAAGACTTCACTGCCAAATTCACACAGGTCTTCTCTGTCAAGCCACGCACTGTCCTTGAGAACTTCAGCATCTCTGCTGACCATTCCCCCAACATGTGACTTCCTGGTGAGCTTGTTTCCCTGCCAAATCCCAGGACTCTTAATTCATTCTTCATTTCATTCCTTTATTTTATCATCCTAATTTGTTTCATTAACCAAGGGATAACATGTTTTACAGTAATGGTTAAATATGCTGACTCTAGAGTTAGCCAGACTTACTGACACCTTTGTCTAGGAACTTTCTGGTCATGTAACCCTGAACAAGCTAGGTAACTGTTCAGAGCCAATCCTCCACAGCATTTCTGTGCATCTCGTATCAAGTTCTGTTTTTCAGTTTATTTTTATCGATGTACTGATTGTTTAATTGTGCTGCAGACCAAATCCAGGGCCTCACCCATGCTAGGCAAGTGCTCTACCTACCACTAAGCCTTTATTCTGCGCTTATTTTTAAGGATGTTAGTACAGCAAAGAGCTTTGGAAAATATAGAGTGGTTCCCTCACTTGAACAGAGAGCAGAACTGTTTCCTGACCAAGATGATAGTGACTGTGTGTCACTCCAAGGTAAACGTGGGTAAGCTGCAAGTTAGTCCCCTATAAGACTGAGGGTTCCCATGGCTTAGGGCTCTTCATCAGTGAGACAAACACATTATCTGAAGCATTTGCTGATCACCAGGCCACTGCTGATCACCCCAGTGGAACTAGAAGGTCAAGGGTATATGAGGCTCATACCACCTGCCCTTCCCTGAGTAATAAATCATACGTTTCTGACCCAGGAGTTTTGTGTCTTGTGCTAGCATCTTTCATCCTGTATGTCAGACTGCCTTGTTAGCTTGCAAGAAAGGAATAATCTCAAAATCTTCATCCTCTTGATAGCAACCTCTCTGTGCCTCAGTTTCTCTACATATAAAGTGAAAAGAAGGCGCCTGCTCTCAAGAATGAGTTAGTGCCTCTGCAGGACCTGAGATCAGCTCCACCCTCACAGCTGAACACCTTCCACAGAGGCGGTATTGGCGATTCCATCGCAAGGCCCCTCCCCACCCCCATCTAGACTGGTCACCCCACACTGCTGACACCAGAAATCACCCTCTTTTTTCAACAGGCTGTGGTTTCCAGGCTGTGGCTCTGTACAAACTGGTTTTCTCCCTGCGTCTTTGTCTCTCTCTACTTCTTCCCTTCTAGTCACACACACCCAAGAGAACTAACCAAAGGGGAGAATTCTGCAGATGCCATAAAACAGACCTACGTTTCTAGAAGATATTAACATAGTTTTTCTAAAATGAGGGGCGTGAAAGACAGTAACGAGAATGAAGAGGTGGGAAGAGTCATGACCTCTTTATAGGCTGGAGAAAAGAGCTCTAAGAAGTGTAAAAAACATCAACAGTCACCTAACCACATAGATGGTCAACACGTATGATTCTCCTTAATGAAAAATTTGCAAGAAACCCACCACACACTGGAACAAAAACAAAGGAAATGTGGCTGTAAACTGTGCAGCCAAATGACCCCTAAGCCCCAGGGAAGGCGTGGGAAAAAAGACAAACATTTACAATCAACAGGTCCCTGGGAGTCCCAGCTCCAGCTCCTAGAATTTTTGAGAACTTGGAGAAGATACTTAACCTCACCAACCCTGGGTTTATTCACCTCCCAAATGGGGCAAGACAATCCCTCAGAGCTCAATAAACTGCTAAACTATTGCAGGACGGCCAGCAAATCACTCCTTCAGAAACTAATAAAAAGACTAAAGGATATTTATGACTCCTTCCTAAAAAAAGCTAAGATTTTATAATGTGCACACAACATTTGCCAAATCCAGAATTACAGAACTTGAACTCTGACTCCATAAAAGCTCCAGCGCTGAAAACGCCTTGGAGTCAGACTTACCTAATTCGGTCTCTTTGACTACTTACTTATGGGCTAAACGTACCTGCAGCAGGAAATCGAAGAGCGCCATCTTGGACCACTCATGGTGGTGGACGTCAGTGCAGCCCCATTCAGGTTTGGGCACCCGACCATGCAGCCAGCACTTCTGCCTCAGTGAGTGCTGATAAGCTCCCCAGGTGAGCTGAACCGAAGAATGGGTGTCATTACTGGCCGGAGCTAGAGATGAGTCCCAGAGAATGACAGGACAAGGGCGACCATCTGTGGAAGCAGAACAAGCTCGTTCTCAGTACACTGTGCGCTGACCAGATGTGCCCTGGGGTAGGTCACACGCTCTTTCTAGCTTTGCTTACCTGCTCATCGCCACAAGTGGATCAGACCCTATGTCAGGGTCCCTCTATCTTCTGAAGCTTTAATAGTTTTATACCTCAGTGATGCTTCCTATTATAAATCTTACAGAGTGGAAAGTTATTGCTAGACAGTGAAAATATTTTTAAACAAGATACTTTGTAGATGTGGCAGGAATAGGCTACTGACCACCAATAACAACGTCCTCTGGGTAATGTGGTTTTACTCCACTTCTAAAAGCAGCCACCACAAAAAAGGAAAGAACGCAGACATTTTTAATTGTCTATTTAATGTCTGAGTGGAACTGCTCTGGTTGTAATAACAACTGTCTGATTTTCTGAGGCCATAGCACAATGTCAGGAAGAAAGAGAATTTTTAGAAGTCATAAATTTCAAAAGTAAAATTTCAAGGTTTACAGGTGTCACTATAATGTCCAAAGAAAGAAAAGAAAAAGAGTGTTTTGGGCTAGAGATATAGCTCAGGGCATAGTGCCTGGCTGCCAAGTGCAAGGTCCTGAGTTCAATTCCCAGTAAAAAAAAAAAAAAAGTGTTTTCTAAAATTTTTTTATAGAAAGCATGCATGCCCAACCACGCTCTTGGTAATGGATCATTTATCTACACCAGAATCACCAAGTGTATTCAGCCAGGTATCATTTCTTGTGAGTGCAAGGATGCTTTACTCACCAATAATATCATTTACTTCTGCCAAATAAAGTTACAGGAAGACAAAGGTGGAGACCTTTACTTATAACTCAGAGTTAGTGTGATGCTCTAGGAAAAGAGAAAAGGTACACTTAACTCGGTCTTCACAGGCCTGAACAACAGAGGCCTCAGAAATAATTATGGCTGGAATGTTCAGACATGTCTGGGGAATTTTTAAAACCCCTTTAAATAGCCTCAAATATTCTCAGTCTTTAACTTTCTTCAGTTTTTTGTGAACTCTCATTTCACCACCTTAATTACCTGCTTTCCTGTGGAGCTCTGACCTACAGAAAACAATCATCTTCATAAACATTGTTGAAGGTGGTATTGCCCTCACTTCAATAATTTTAACGGCATCACTTAATTATTTTAACCACTGTGTTTTGCTTTATTCAGAAGAAAAACTGCTTTCTCTTTGGCCTTGGAAGTTAGCTCAAGGTGTGCAGAAAGTCCTTTGTATTATACAAAATTTTCCACAGCCGTCGACAGGCCCTGACAAGGAAGAGAGAGGAAGAAACACAGGAGCCATCGCTGGAGAATTTTATTTATAACTTTATCTCTTCTCTTTCTATTTCCTTTTACTTTATTAAATGATTTGGGGCACCTGGGACCTAATCATTTCCTTGGATATAAGATCGTGTTGAACATTGATACCCCAAATACAGGGCCAGTTAAATAAAAGGAGAATAAATTTCCAGTAAAATCAGAGCATCATGCAGTAGGAGACAGGTTTAGGCAAGTGCCCCCAAATATGAACAGAAACTTGCTGGGCGTGTGGTGCACACCTGTAATTCCAGCACTCGGGAGACTCAAGCAGGAGAACTGCTGTGAGTTCGAGGACAGCTTGGGTTACATAGTGAGTTGGAGGCCAGCCTGAACTGCATAGTGAGACCCTATCTCAAAAAGACAAAATAAATAAATAAATAAAATAAATAAATTTTTAAAAATACGAATAGAACCACAGCTTCCAAAGACGCGAAGCTCTGAAGGATCAAGACAACCACCAAGAAGCTCTGTTGGTCAGAGTCTTTGTGCCGAAGTTACACACAGAGCGTTCTTTGCATTCCCAGGGAGAAGAGGCATTCAAAGGGAGCTGAAAGCTAATACTGAACTTCAGCTACACAAGTCAATATCAGACAGCACTTTCCACAGCAATTCACACAAGCCCTCTGAGAACAACGAACTGATCTGCATAAACAATCAAAAACTTCTAGCCTATCTTCCCCTTCCCTTAGAAACATTTGTTTTTATTGTAAAGGTAAATCTCCTTCTTTTAGGAAATGTGGAATAAAATGTATAGCTAAGAAAATTAACTTCATCTATAACCCATAGTTGCTCTTGTTTACCTCCATTATTTCTGTGTAACTTTTATTGTCATTGGAATATACAAATGGATTTTAGAACTTTAGGAAATGAGTAGCTTGTAGTTAAAGCCCAGACTCCGGAACCCAAGATCTCTTGAAAACTAGTCATGTTGCTCTCAGTTTTGCCATGCCAGACCAGTTCTACAACCTTTCTAAATCTTGCTTGCCTCTTGTGTAAAATGCAGTCCAGTGTATCTCCACAAACTTTATTTATTAAGATTAAATGAGATTAAGCATTGAAAATTTTCTCTTCAAATTTTATCATTTCTTTATAGTGAAAACATTCAGAATTTTTTCTTCTAGTTTTTTAAAAAATATATGGTACATAACTGTTAGCTATAGTCACCTATTGTGTAATGGCAGATGGGATAGTTTAATGTGATTTAAACGTTACACAACATATATGTGTACTAAAACATCACGTGGTACTCCACTAATATGTCAAATTTTCATGTTTGATGCATTAGTCAATGAAAGACAGGAAAAACTAAAAACATAACTCTCATCTTGGTGTCTAATGTGAATGCGTGCCCCAGAAATGTTTTCTAAGGACTGTATAATACTGTATGTTATGCAATCTCATAATTTATCAGTCTTCAGCCGACTTTTATTGTTCACTAAGCAACTACTTCATGTCAAGCACTGTTCTAGAACCTGAAGCTAAATACATACATAAATATATGTCAAATATGTTTGCTTTCATGGAGCTTACATTTCTACCAGGGAAATAAACATAAATTAAGCAAAGAAAGTAAAACTATTCGGGATCATCTCGTATTTCCTTAGGGATCATCATAACCGCTTCACTAAGTATTGTAACATAAACATTTATGCAGTAATTAAATATTTTAAGTAGCAACCGCTGTGATTTTGATGTCCTCCTCTAGCAAACCTTGCAGAGGGCGGTCAAAAACATTTTAGGCTGCAAGAACCATACAGTCTCCATTTGCAGTCACTCAGCTGTATCCCCGCCCCACTTCACCTCACTGGGCCAGGAAAGCAGCCACACCTCAAGAGGACACACTGATCATGACTATTCCAGCAAAACCGTGTTATGAACACCGAAGCTGGGATTTCAGGATTATCAAGTCTCCTGGTAGGATGATTTTTTTCAGCCATTTAAAAATTTAAAACCCAGTTTTTAGTTTACATAATAAATACTGAGATTGAACCATCTTGACTACTTTATGAGCCCCTAAGTTTACTGCATTTCATTTACCTTTTCTCTACTTTAGATCTTCGATTCTCCTCTCAGATTTTCAGAGCTAGGGATGGGATCCAGGATCTTGTATATGCCAGGAAGTTCTGCACCACTGAGCTACACCCCCAGCCCTCACAAAACTCCTTGAATGATACATTCTCTATATTGGCACCGGAAGAGTTTTTCTCAAACTGTCAAAGATGTTGGGCTAACAGGAATATCTGGTTTTCGGTTACTTTCCTGTGCTTTTCTCCACAGCCATTCCCATGTAAATTATTTTAAATGCTGACTGCCACAGAGAAACACTCTTTCCAGCCCTGAGAGAAGCTCCTCCCCCTCAGCGAACGGACTTCCAGAGAACAGAAAGAAAAGGAGAGGGGCGAGCGGCAACCCTCAGCCCAGGGGTGGTGCCCGGGTCCTCCGCACCCTTGCCGGCCTTCCCACTGCACATCAGTGCCTGTGGGTCTCCAGGGACTCATCAGAGTCAGCAGTGCTGCCCAGCTCGGAGCGGCGAGCGCCGCCGCCACCAGGAGAATTCCACTTCCTCTAAAGTGTGGCCTTCACAAGAACTGAATGAACTTTGATCGACCTGAAGTGATGACGGAAAAATAGCCTTTGAAGACAGGGGACTAGTTCAAGCAACTTCCCCTCAAGGGTCTGGGGGCGGAGGTTCATTTATCGCTCCGCACGCGGGTTTGTCAAGATGATGCAGTTCTGTGCTCTCCAGAGAAATCTTAACAGTGAGGAGATAAAATTCTAACTGTCAGGGTGGTGAGAAAGCAGGTTTTAAAAGATACGTGGGTGTTCATGTGAATTAAAGGTTACATGGCTGTCTGAAAAATGAGGCTTGCCAGCAAAACTTCTTTTTTCTGGTCTCTGACTATCTCCCCTGAATTTTGATTGTTCTCCCAAGTCGTTTCTCATTCAAAAGCAAAAAGAAGACATTCTTCGGAAAAGATGAACATGCAAATTAACCAGGAATGAATGCTCTACACAGCCCCTCTGCCTGGATTTATGAAACGCCCTTCACTTTGAGCACTGGCTGACTGGTTCTGTTGAACCCCAGGTGAACGCTGAGCGTGCTTGCTGGAGTTGTGAATGTTCGTCTGCATTTGTCCCTGAGTCAAAGCAAGTAAAAATGTCCCGAGCTCAGAAATCACAAGTCCTTTCTATCACATGGGTCAGGTTCCAAGAATCTTTGTGAACAAGACAAAAAGGAAGTGATAGTCCTAAGAGCAACTCTACAAACCCCCTGTGGAAATCAAAGGCAGCCAAGTTGTGGAGCATCTGTGTGAGCAAACAGACTGTGCTGGGCTCCATCACATCTGCGGACATTGTGACGATGGAAACCTTAATGCCATGGGCGCCCAGGGCACAAGGCACTTGATGTAGACACCGCGCAGTGACACTGCAGCAGGTGCCTAGGTGTTAATCACCACATTTCCTACAGCACCTATTACAGCGCGATAAGAGCAGTTAAGAAATATTAGACTGAAGTGAAAAGGCGGAGGCTCTCTCTTGGCTTGAAGGTGGTGAATGTGAACAAGTTAGCAAGCACGAGGGAGGTCAGAACAAGAATGCAAGACTTGTGACAGCTGTCAGGCAGAAGTGATTTTGAAGGATTAGAGGAAATTTTACATTTGCTCA